CTGTAAAAAAGGTTAAAGGAAACCCTACACCATATTAAATTTATAAATAAATATTAGAAGACTTTAGCTACATTATTCAATAAAAAAAAATTTTTATCGGTTCACTGATCATTACCAAAAATGATCGTCGGCTGGTGACTTTTGTCAGGGGAGTGTACATAACAGATGTAATAATGCCTCTTATTCAAAGTGCACTAAAAAAGCTTCCGATCAAGAAACATGCTTTTCTCAGCACGTAAGTTTGAAAAAAAAAATTTTTATTAAATTGGCTAAGCCACCGTAGATCATCACTGAATATCGGTTTGTCCACCATGCTATAAAAATGTGATCACATATTAATTTATTATATCTGCTGTAGATGAAGGACGGGTATAATTCTATCGTTGGCCTAAATGCGTTAAATGTACTAAATATAACACAAGAGAATCTAGACTATACGAGAGAAGAAATTGATCAAAATATTAGAACATTGAAATCAAGGCTCGATTCTCCCATGACAGATATATAACAGATGCGGATGTAAGCCTCTATGATGCTCTCCTAGAAATATAGACGATTTAGTAGATGTTTCCAAACTTACATGGAAGGATCCAATTGCGAGTATGGTTCTTAGTGACGATTCGGCGGTGGTAGAAAATTTAAGCAAAAGACAACGACGAACCTTCTTGGTAATAATATATAGTATAGTATATATTGATGAAATTACATCAAAAAACATCTTGTGATTAAGTTTATTTATAAAACAAACTACATATTATCTAGGAGCCTCGAGAGAAAATGAAATGCAAACTCCCTGATTTAGTTTCTCTTAAGTGCAACGAGTCTGCAAATAATTTTCACAAGATAAGCATTCTGGATGAATTTAAAGATATCAGTCATAATGGTTTATGGAAAGAGGAGGAATCTGATCTAGGAAAAATAACCGAACGAATTCTTAGTACACCGTAAATAATTAGTAATTTTTTTTTATACGTATGTCTATATCAGGCTAACTTAATTTATATTATACATTTAGAGGAAATGTGTGGAATAATCCAGCCTTCGAGACGAGCATGTCCCGTAATATGCAAAGTGAAGGGACTTACATTACTGACATAATCATGCCTTTACTTCGGGAAACTCTATATGTTTAAGCACAGCTGAACGCCAAAGCTTGGCAAGCAAGGCACGTAGAAACGATGGAATAGGTAAGGAAAAAATGGGCAAAAAGCCGAATATAATAGCGCTATAAAAATGCAATGGAAAATTAGTGGAATTTTTATTCGCAGAATGTTCGTGTGTCTTCTGCAGTGCCACTAAAAAAGAAGAGGATGATATAAAATTATGGAGAGAATTGTTGGATGGGAGTAGCTATATAAATTCTGCATGTAGACCTATTCATAATCAGTTCGGTGTAGTTGGAATCCAGGTGGCTGGCGAGAGAATATATTTAAATGTTCTCATGAATGATACGAATGAAATACCAAGATACTTCCACCTGGATATCCCACTAACTTCGGACATGTCGTGGCGTGTAGAACCGCTTATACGATTATTATTAACCTTAAGAAATATCATAATTGTGAATAAGAGTTTGCTCACGCAGGCGTTAGAGCAAGCTATCTCGCATCCACCTCGAAATGCTCACACGAGTCCCACTGTCTCTTCACCACGTAGAGAAGAATGTAGAGAAGAACCGGGACAAAAAAGACCTAGGAAGAATAGTAAAACCAGAAGGTTGACTAAACGAAAAAGTGCATATTTTTAGAATATATCCTGTATTTATTTTTTATATAATAAAGCTGGCGATTTCGCATACATAATCGCGTTTACTTTTGCACATGTGTTTCAGGATTTGTTATATTATAAATATTGTGATATAGATTAAACTAAAATTATTCATGTTAGCTCAAAAATTAAATAAATCATCTTTTATTACTAAAAATGCAATCTGAATTAGATTTATTAGAAGAAAAAGCTAAGGAAGCTATACTAACTGAGCTTAAGGCCAAGAATGCAGAACTTATGGCCGAGAAAGCTAAACTTGAGACTAAAAATGCAGAATATATAAAGCTTAAGGATGAGACTGCAAAGCTTAAGACCGAGAATACTAAACTTTTAAAACAAATTATAGATAAATATGTTAAAAATAAGGCTGATATAGTAAAATTAAAAACTGGTTTGCAGTATCCAATCCTCTTTGAGCGTATTAAGGCGGCAATTCTTGAACTTGAAGCAAGGAATGCAATATTAAGACCAATTATAGAAGAATTTGCGAAGAAATCGGAATATAGCCACCTCGTAACTGCCTTTGACAAGAAAAATCGCAAATTCCAAGCTAAATGTATTCAAATAGCTGAGGACATTCTTAACGAAAAACCAATAATTGAATATCGTCCTCCTTTCTTGAACGGATTGGAACTTGATGCCTTCTTTCAAAAATATCGAATCGCATTGGAGGTGCAAGGAAGTCAACATCGGCTTCATAGCACTAGCTGGTATAAGGATATCAAAAGATTTGAGGATATTGTTGATCGTGATCGGAAGAAAAGATGCCTTTGTCAGCTTAATGGAATTTATCTTATAGAAGTATGGTATGATGAAAATCCAGAAAAAGTTATTTCGGAAAGAATGCAAAAAATTAAGGATTTCGTTAATCAAGCATTTAAAACCTTCGACCTATAATATCCTTCTCGATTCTTTGCATCTAAACAGTTTGCAGTTTTGCTAGTATTGCTGATAACAGTTATACGTCTCACAGGTAATCACGTGTGATTATCATATCAGATATAAAAATCGAATCGTTAATTTACATGTCTTCATTTTTTATATTTTGTAAAGTATGGCTTATTGGATAAGTAACAAAGTAAACAAAATTCGGGATAACTTGCCCCATAGACATCCTAAACTGCCAGATTTTCATTTAGCAGATGAAAGGTAAGCGTGACTTATTCACGTTTCTTTAAGAGCTATTCATTGTTAACTTCTATTGTATTCAGCTTGCCCTTCCAGATTGGAAAAAAAATTTCGGTTAAAGAGTATAACGATTTTCTTGATCGTAACGAATCGTCAGGATATAAATTTCACTTTGATAAAAAAAACGTCTATATTATTGAAATGGCGTATGCTCCACATGAAGATGTTATATCATATCTTCAAGATTGTTTTAAAGAACCAAATAATAGAGTAAAGCTTGGACCGATAATAGTTTCTGGTCAATCTTGTAAGAGATTTTCATTTAATTTTATTTTCTGGTGCTTGTAATAAAAATACAAAACTTTCCAATAGACCATTACAATCCAATCGGAATTGGAGAAAAAATAGCTCCGGACACTGCAGTTCGTCCGAGAGAGTGTCTTGTACAACGAGCAAATCCATATCCTGATTTCCCCCGCGGCGACTTCAAAGTACTTTAATATTTCATTATCATAATACTTATTTTTAAGACAATTTCTAATTATATCAAATTTACACAGAGAAATTCCCATGCAAGAATAATTTGCGAAGTTGCTAATACTCAAAAAATTGATTTATGGAACTCAAGATGCGAAACGTGGATGCACGAAGAATACGTTCGTTGTGTATTTGGAATTAAAATTTATCCTAAAATAAATATCAAAAGAATTGTTCATCAGCCAATAATAGTATGTCCTGTATGTTTAACATCTATTCATTATTTGATTAGTTTCGACTTTATGATTTTTTTCTATATTAGGCAAGATTATGGGTACGTCGAGCACAACCAGGTGGTGTATTATCCTCAAATGCAACTTTAGCAGGAAATGGAATATATGTTAAGGAGGTAATATTAATTTACTGTTGTGTTTTTATAATCAGATATCCGGATTAAAACAATTTTTGCAATTGATAGTGGGAATGTGGAACTATACATCATAATACTCATATACCAACCGGTTGTAATGCTCCAAATAATATTGAATTTCAAGTAACTATTCCTGTTAGAGATGCCTTTTGGGATCCCCCAATTTTGGGTGGAGTTCTAAATGTTGAAGACTATACTGCAGTGGTACCTGATACTGTTGTTGGCGAAAATTTTGTTATTGACTTATATGACATACAACAAGTAGTTCTTAATGTAAATTAAGGTATTATGATTTGACGTATCAAGCGAATAAATTATTTTTGTTATGTAGTGTCTAAATTTTAATTGCTTTTAAGGAAAACAATGCATCTGTAGCAATTTCGATTCTGTTGAAAACAAAAAAATAACTTGCAAAGATTTATTATAAGATTTTATTAATATAATTTTTTCATCATTGCAAACAAAGCATATTTTTTCTGGAAATACGAACGCATAAATGTTGATTAAACTTTATTTTGCATTACATGAGTTGATCGTGCATTTATTATATTTATAATACTGCGTATAAAAAAAATACCAAACTTCGAGATCGTGTCATTGATGTCATGGTTGGATAATTACACAGCATTATTACACTCCTCTAAGTTTTTGTATTTTTTCTAATCTGAGATGATGCTACCGTGTCTATAGACTCTGGGCGTTGCCCATTAAACCTCAAGTCTGAATTCCTATATGCTATAAATATATTATCAAGTTAGAATGTGACCTCAGAGGTCACGACATCATGTGACATATACCGCAGTAAAGCAATAATTATGACTTTGAAAGGGAGTCTAGTTATTCGTAACAGTTAAAAAATCGACGTTGGGAAGAATTATGCATTAAGGTAACACCGCATAAAATTTAATGCAGGCTATCGTTATTATTAAAGCCGGTCAAGGTGGATTTACTTATTTTTCACTGTGATACATATCACATGATAGTGCATCATAATTTAATTAATCATTGTTTTATCACATTTCAAGCGATATTATATTAATCGTATTAATAATGATATTAAAATTTTTTTATTTCATCAAAACTTATTAATTAATATAATAAAATGTCTGAAGAACTTATGAATAACGAAGAAATTCGTCTAGATAATTTTTTTAATGTGTTTGATCACTTCGTGGAAACACTTCAAGTTAATTCGATTCCTGATAATCTTCTTCCATCTAATGCACTTTATTTGTGCGTGATAATGTTCAGCGTGGTAAAATTTCTTTAGGTACAGAATATATCGTACCATTAGATACTGATTTTGAAAAATGGATATACGATTTTGGTTATAATACTCATACAAGTTATGTACAAGTAAGAACTGAATATAATACTGGAAATATTGAATTTCGATATACTTACAAATGTCATCGTTCAGGAAAATATAACAGTCAAGCAGGTCAAAATTCTACAAAAAAAGCAAGAATTAATCAAAAAGATTCAAAAAAAATTGGTTGTGAATCTACTATTATAATTACTAAAACTAAAGGCAATTGTTCTCAAATGATTATTAAATACACTTCTCATTCAAATCATATTCTGGGTAGTGATAATAATATTGGAACTCTTAGACTTTCAAAACAAATTCGTGATTATATAGCACAACGAATGCGTGATGGTTTGGATGTTAAAACAATTAGCCAAATTTTTAGAATGAGAGCACATGATTTGGATAAAATTTGGAATCAACGTAACCTTCTAAAAGCAGTTCAAATTCGGATCATCTTATTACTTATGATGATATATATAATATATGATTAAAGAAGATCAAATTTTACATGAAACTGAGGAAGAAAGCCTTAATTTATAGCGAAATAAACTTTTAGAAAATGGTGATTTAACTTGTGCAATTGCTTAACCAGAAGGTGATAATAATGAGGATAAAGGACAATTGCTAGGTTTTATAGTTCCAATTGCAAAAGAAATAATTCATCAGGTTAATACAATTTTACTTGATGCAACACATGGTACAAATAAAAACAATGATCAACTTTATACTCTTTTAACACCTGATTTTAAAACTGGGAAAGGATTACCTCTTGCGCATCTTATTTCTTCTCGTAAAAATACTGCATCTGTGCAATTTTGGTTATATAATTTACATATTCAATTATCTTGGGAGGGCCCTATATCTTTTTTAGTTAATTGTGACCTTGCACAAATCAAAGCCCTTCGGAATATTTTTCCTAGAAGCAGAATTTTATTATGTTGGTGGCATGTTCTTAAAGCTTGGCGAGAAAATTTAAAAAAAGTTTATATTAAGAAAGCAAATACAACTCTAAATGGTAAATTAAATTCTGAAATAAAAAAAAAATTGAAAGATGAGTTATGGGATGATTTAAGAGAACTAATGTATATTAATAATCATGAAAATGTTGATGAATGTATTAATAATTTTTTAAATAAATGGTCAGATTTGAAATTATTTATTTTATATTTTAAAAAACAATGGCTAAATAAGCTAAATAATAATTATCAAGCTAGTGGAATTAATAAAACTATGTGGATTAAAGTATATCGATTAGATATTCCTAATAACAATATTAATACTACAAATATGTTAGAATCCTGGTATCGAAAGCTTAAATATGATATTTTTAATGGAAAACCTAATCGATGTCGAGATATTCTTATTTATGAACTATATATTAATGGAAATAGTGATGCTAAACAGCAATGGAGATTGGCAGAAATTCGTGCAGGAAGAATGATGCCAGCAGAATGAGAAGTACAACAACATAAGCAAGAAGCTAAAAATTTAATTCAAAAAATAACTGAAATAATTGCAGGACGATATTGAATAGTTTCATCTTATACACAACTAGGAGTCAATTATTTAGTTGAAATGAGTACAGAATTTCAAGATCAAATTGAAAGATGATTTATTTGCTCTTGTCATGATTTTCAAAATCGACTACTTCCCTGTAAGCATATTTATACTATTATATTTCGCTATTTTTCAAATAATCAACCATTCATACAATCTCAATTACAATCGCAATCTGAATTACAATTTCAATTACAATCTCAAATTCAATTACAACACAATTACAATTGAATTCACAACATAATTGGCAGCAGATTCTTACTGAAATTCAGCAGATGGCAGAAAGTTTAATTAATCTAAATACTTATAGTTTACAAATTGTTCGAAATCAGCTATCTAAACTTCTTTGGGAGATTCAAAGAATAGATGAGTTTCATACTAATAATTGGGTTAAAGAAAGTGAAAAATTGCAACTATCTCTGCATATGAATATTCAAAGGCAAAGAAGATAATGCCATACTAAGCAGTATTGTTTTGCTAATGCTATTAATATTAAAAAAAAACATCTCTCAGTGAATTCCGTGAATGGAAAATTATAATAATAAAGAAATTATAGTGCATATTATAGCTTGTATGTGTTAAATTAAATTAAATATTAGAAAATTCTTGTTTATGTTCGTTAAATTAAAAAAAAGTCTTATAATTTAAATTATTATTTTACAAAATTAAACCACCCTTTATACAAACCTTAGATTTTTATAAAATAACACTGTTATATATACCGTAAATTACCGTGTAAAATACCCAGGTAGTTTAAGTTTCACATGACCAAAATTTGATTTGTACCCCGGGTATATTGTATAGAAGAGAGTACATTATGTGGGGGTTTTTTGAAAAGGGTATACTAGGTAAATGGAAATGATATACGATATTGTACAGTTTTTCATCTTTAATTAATAGCAATAGGCTTTACATATAATAGTTTTATAAGCCTTATATATAACGTTATGTTTGCCTTACGGTTCTAAAAAGCTTTCGTATAGTTTTACCATATACTATATATCTGATATATTTTTTTTACCAAAGAATTTTTTTTTTTTTTTTTTTTGCAATAAAGTTTTTTTTTTTGCGCTAAATTTTTTTTTGTTTATAAAATGTTGTTGTATATAAACTTTCTAAGCATTTTTTGAAGTCGCATTTTTTTATACTAAGATAAAAACATTTTTTAAAAACAAGCTTTCTAAAAAAAAAACTTACCTTTTAACTATGGAAAGTATTCTTTCAACCAATTCTAAAAAATGACAGTGGACAGCTCGGAAAAAACTTTTTGTCCTTTCTTATCTTGACAGAATTCCTGGTGCCACTATTTGTGGAACAGCTAGTAGATTTCAGCTCCAACCCAATCAAATTCAGGATTGGAAAAATAAGCAAGAAAAGCTATTATCAGCTCAGCCTCATGTTAAATGGCTTAATGCTGGTTCTCGACCAAATTACCCTAATCTTGAAGCAGAACTTGCTGAATGGGTTAAAACTTTACATGCTAATTTAAAACCAGTTAGTCGTAATATGGTACAAACAAAGCGGCAGCACTAGCAAAGTCCCTACAATATACCCATCAATATCCTAATATTGACAAGTTTAAGTGGAGTAGCAAGTGGCTTGAAGGTTTTTTACATCGTCATAATTTAAGTAACCATCATAGAACAACTGTTGCTCAAAAATTACCAGAAGATTTAGAAGAACAGCAACTAGAATTTTTAAATTTCGTGCAGTACTATCATATTCAACATGATTACCCATTATTATTAATAGGCAATATGGATGAAACCCCTCTTGCTTTTGATATGCCAAGCAATGTAACTATCGATAATAAAGGAAGCAAGACTATTAGTATTAGGACTTGTGGTTATGAAAAGTCCTGTTTTACCGTCATACTCGCATGTATGGCAGATGGTAGAAAATTACTACCAATGATCATTTTTAAACTAAAAAATGTTTCATGACTCGATTTTCCACGAGGTGTAATTATTAGAGCTAATGAAAAAGGATGGATGAACGAAGTGGAAATGAATTATTGGATAGACCAAATTTGGAATAATCATACACCGGGTTCTAATAATCCACAATCCTTATTAGTGCTAGATTCTTTTAGGGGTCATTTAGTTCCATCTGTTAAAAGTAATTT